ACTACTTGCAATCAAGAGATGATAAATATATTTTCCACTTGTAAGCTGAGTAATTTCCCACTAAATCTTGCAATATCAGTTGAGGTGTGCAAGGCCTTGAAAGTGCTTCTCCTGTGCCAATATTTAAATGTGCAGTGAGATGACCCTAAAGTTGCACAGACATTTAAGTACATCTGCTACAGGCACAGTAGCATACCAGCTGACCTAAGGATAAGTACACAGTGAATGTAAGCAATTAATGACACTCAATATACCTTAGGAATCTAGCTGTTTTCAGACAACCCTGTTCTCATTTTTTATGAGATTACAAGTTCTGCTGGCAGTGGCAATTGAACAGGTGTGGTATTAATCAGACTTCCAAAAATTGTTCAGTTTAGTATCACACAATGTAGTGAAGAACAAAGGAGCTCTCTAGGGTATCAACAAAATAAATAATGAGTGACTTAATACATGTCTGTCTTAAAGATCTCAAAAAAATTGTCATTGGGGGTCTTTATCAGACAGGGTTACTTCTAGGAATTTCTGTAGAATTTGGTGAGAAATGTCATGATGTTTAATTGTCTCACCTTCTTAGCAATCTAATACAAACTCCCTAGTGATGCAGTACTAAATACTGGCAAGAATAACAGAACTGCTCAAACCAGAAAGAGGTTCATCTACTGGTATGGTTGGGTAAACCCTAGACAAAACAAATCATTCATTTCAAAGCAAGCAATGCAAACCCTTCTTGTAAAAAGGTGTTCTGTAGCTTGGAAAGCACTGACTGAAAATAGCATTGGCTTCTAAGAGAAAATGGAGTAGCAAGAGCTCCTGTATGATACAGGGGCAAAAAGTGCTAATTCAATTCTTGTCAGTATAAACAACAGAATAGTGAGTAGGAGGAGGAAATTGACTTTTCTTTCTGTGTGACATTATTGGGACTGATGTGAAATAATGTATACAGTCCTGATGTCAACATTTTAAAAGGGATGTTGAAATACTACAAAGGATATAGAAATAAGCCACAGATATGTTTTGATGTCTGGAAGGGGAAATAAAAGAGAGAACAGTGAGAGCTCAATCTGTTTATCTTTATCAGACAGATCAGAAGACAGCTTGATTATAGCATGTAAGAACCTTCGTGGGGAGTAAATACCAGTTACTGAATGGCTCTTTAATGTAGCAGAGAAAGGCACATCAAGAGCAAGTGGCTGGAAGTGAAGCCAAATTCAAAGCAGAAATTAGATACAAACTTCTAACAGGGAAGGTGATAAGCCACTGAGTACAAAGAAGATGATAAATTCTCTGTTGCTTCATTTTTTGCAGCCATTTTTTGGATGCCCTTCTCAAAGACTGTGTTTAGTCAGGCCCAAGGGATCCAAGCTTAGTATGGAGGTAGCAGTATCAAATCTCCTGGCTCAGGAAACAGATCATGTTGGATGTATCAGGTGGTCTCTTCCTACCTTCATCACTCTAAATCTCAGGAGTACATCTTCTAGTACTGAATCCAACCCTGTGCTTAATCCTTGTATGATTTCCTCCATAAACCATGATGAGGTTCATTCTTGTGCTGTTAGCAGTGAGGTTAACACATCCCCTTAGCAAAACACCAGAGAGGTGGTACAGAGGAAGGATGGAAGGAAAGAGGAGCACAAGCAGACAGGACATGACAGAGGTTTGACCACTTCTCAGTGACCCACAATTCATGTCACACCATAGAAAGGTCTGTAAGCTGCTAGTTAAATACTGAGCTCAATACAAAAGGGGAGAAAGAGACTTGCTGTTGCATCTCGGGGAAATGCAGAAAGACAGTGTTCATCCAGCAAGGAGGATTTATTGCTTTTTTATTAAAAGTTTGTTCATTTCCCTGTGCCTCAGGACATAGGCTTTGCAAGCCTGAAGTCAGTAATATAAACATTAAGATTTGAAAAACTGGCATGAATAAAAGAAATATGTTAATTGTGTTGTGACAGTTATCTAGCAATTCATTGCAAGAGAATTCCGGAGCTTTTAATATTATCTCATGGCCAATAATACAGGAATTAATTCTAGGTCAAGTTCTGACATTTTTACCAACATTCCATGTACTTGTCTCTCTATACAGTTCAATTGACTGAAAGGGAACATTTGCATAAAGTGATGGCTTCTGTACAGCTACAGCAACATCAGGCTTTAAAATCCATCACTTGTGCTGTCCTGAGCTATTTTCATACCCTGTAATTGTTGAAGAAGATAAAAGATTGACAAGAAAACAACTTTTAGAGTAAATTTCCTAGCCCTGAAATCCCCTTCTGCTCAGCATAAGAATTCTTCCTCTCCACTTAACGAGGTGCCTGAATTCCTTGGATAGAAGGAGACACAGATGAGTCATAGGCATGGTTTGCCCCCTTGAAACAAATAAAGATATCCTTTCTCTGAGAAAGAAAACTCTTTTGAATATGGTAGTCTGATAGACTTTACAGTTCTCCAGCACATAGTCTCAATCTGGAATGTCTAACACTGAAAGAGCAAACTTCAATTTGTAATCTGTTTACTCATAATAAAAACTGCTTAAATTAAGAACCAATTGATGGTACTCTCAAAAACATTTTATTAAGTCTCAGCACCTTGAAAATATTCCCACTGAGTCTTCCTCAGCAGCACAAGCTTTGACACCCTGTTAGATAAAATGCTCACAGTGAGGTAAAAAAGCAGATGTGCCGAGTCAGCTGAAGCTCAGTGAGCAAAGCAGAAGGGCAACATCTGACGAGTATGCAAATATGATACCTGCTAATTATACCCCCTTAGGATTGCCTGTGTGCAAGGTGATACATCCTCAGCACTGCCTTCAGGAGTAGAAGCCTTGGCCAGCTTTGCTTCAGACTACAAAATCTCCTTCTTATGCAGCACTGAATCTCGTTGTGGTGGTTTTCTGGTTTTAACACTTCAGGGGCTGTGTGACCTAACATACAATGCAAAAGCAGATTAGTTACCTCAGGGCACATTTAAAATATTTATTGCTAGTATGATCTGAGTCAATAGTGTGGCACAAATCAGCATGAATCTGAAAGCAGTAAAAAACCCTCCACATTTTCAATACTACAAGGTTTATTTAGTATTAGTGAAGAGAAGCAGGATAGATTGTGATACTTTCTAGGGTTACACAGTGAACATTCATGGCATCAGATGGGCACATCTCCAACACAACTTTTAGCCACATGGTTAGTTGACAACTACATTACTGGACAAGAGTATCATAGGATTTAGGGATTAAAATAATTTACTAGATTATCATACTCACACCTGTGAAAAATTTCCTTTTCTTTTGGTGTGCCAGGGTAAGGAACTCACAATTATCTGTGTTTTTCCAGTGTTCTGTTTATGCAATTTCTATATCACTAAGTAATGAAACTTTTACTATTTCTCTAGAACATTATTCTTCAGCCTAATGAACTTCACCATTAAGATACTTGTTCCCTGTTTATCCCGAATCCTTTTTTTCTAATGCCATATTATCAAGTGCTGAATGCCAAGGAAATAATGATGAACATTATAAAAATTTGCTAGGGATTAAGTTGCAATCCTTCTACAAGACACATGTTTCCATTTAACTATCCCAGCTTTGTTGGGTATTTTGCAAATAAATTTCTGCCTATTTAGTTAAAAGTTTCCTCTGTTGCCACCTACTTGATGTGCTGATTTATTGATGGCTGAAAAAGAGAATAAGCCAAGCAGCTCAGCTAGCAGATTCCAGTGGGAGGAGGTCAGCAGAACATCTGCTTTGCAATTTACAGTTTTCTACTTATTCATGCGCAGAGTTTTGTCATCCTGGGAATAGTTCAAACACATAATATACAGACTTCTAATAAAAGGAAAAAATCTGTGTTTACCAAGCTCTCAGAAAGTTGGATTTTGCTTCACTTAAGCCATAAATTCTTAATTTTCCTCAATTGCCAACAATTTGGAAGTGAGTTTGTCATCAGGTTTACTGAAAAGTTTCTTGTGTGCCTAAAGAATTATCTCCTGTTATTGCATGTGTAGAGATGATTTTATTTTTACTGTTTATTTTTGGTTAATTACTCCTTAAAATTTACTCAAGTAAAAGTTACTCAAGTTGTGGTTATAAATGGGACTGAATGAAAATCTAGTTTAGAATATCCTTAAATAGTGAGAAATCTTGGATGTTCAGATAAGCCTCACAAACTGCATTTCTCTGTATAGTGAGGTAATGTAGTAAACAACTGCTCATTTTTTCTCAGATCCAAAAGCCTCCAAATGTCTGAGTAAGCCCTATCTTAGCCTGCATTTTCCAGTTCATCACCTTCTATAGCTCTAATAATAGGATGCATGCATCTATTACAGCTGTAGTGACAGGGCTATAGTAACAGACTATATGACACAGCATTTGTCTTTTTGCATTAGGCAAATCAGCTGTCTCATTCTGGAGATTGTCTGTGGCACTGACAAATATTAGATATTTGTGCAGAAGTAGGGGGAAAGGAGAATAGTACGTCAGAGAAAATTATCAGAGAAAATATTTTTTCAGATGCTTTTTATGCCCTGGGTACTGAGAGCTTCCTTCATGACATTAGTCATGCTTTAAAAAGTAAATTCAAAGGTATGAAGGTCTTCTGCTGTATCTGTCACAGGGAGGCAAGTCCAGCAAGGTGTCTCAGATACCTGGGGCTATCCCAAGTGGCACTGAAAATGCCTGGGCTTAGACTCATGTACTGAGCACACAGTCAATGAATCCATACACAGTCAATGTATCCAAGAGAATTATTTGGCTTAATCAAAGACCATGGGCTGCATGGAAGCATTGCTCTCCACTGACCCTTGAATACCTGTCTATCAAAAGTACAGTTGGATGTCATAATGAACTTAGTGAACTGATTAAAGCTGCAAATTAAAGAACAAGCAGAGCAGGGGAAGATAAGGGTATGTTTATGGGTCCCACACTATCTAACAAGTTTTGTCCTGAGAAGAGCTCTGGTCCTCTTGAGCACTTCATGCTTCTCTCCTTAATGATTTTGCTTCCACAGACACTGAGAAGCTTCTCTTCTGCTGGAACCTGCTCCATCTCCACTGGGTGTGAATCACCAGTAGCAGCACGTGCCTTGCACAAAGCTAGCCTGATGTTTGCTGGGCTCTCAGATAAGAGGAACTTCTATAAGACCCCCCCTTCCTCTAGGTTTTCTTCTTTTATGAGATCAGCTCAGGGCACAGGCAGGATTAGGGGATCAGATAACAGCACATCCTTCAGCAAAATGAACTCTGATAACTAGCCTACAAACATTCAGATTTTCATCTTTCAGCTCTCTGTGTCATCCTGAACTTGAATGTAATTACAGCTATCTCCTCTGGCTTACTGCCCATGAATTATTATCCTGTACATCATCCACAATTTGACATTTATTTGTTCCAAATTAAAATGACCTTTGCACTTGGGAGATAATAAATTATTTTTGGAATTATAGTAATTCTCTGTCACCTGAAATCATGCACAAAGACATGTTAGCACCAAAGGCGGGATAAGGAAAAGGAAGCACTTCAGATATATGAGCAATCAAGATTGATAGATTATGTGTATTGGTGGCTTGCCATTATTTATTTTACTGTGCAAATATATTTAATATTTACAATAACTTTTAGTAAAAACAATAGTATTAATTATATATGGAAGGTCTCCTCATGAATCTTCAAGAGAAAAATAAAAAAGGGCTCACAGTTTTATCCTAACCAGTAGTGTTTACTAACTCAACAGACATTTTATTAGAGATATCTGGTCCTTTTCTTCCAGCAGCTCTGTAGGTCACTTTTTGCAAGTGTGTCTTTGGGCAGGCTATGGGGCCAGGAGGAAGCTTTATGTCACTTACTCACATGGGGCATTTGCTGAGGGTCTCTAACTCATTTCAATAGTGAGTACCAGCACCAGCCTACATTAGAAACAGGAGATTAAGAGACTTTTTTTCCTTCTCTCTTTGGGAAGAAAAAAATCCCCTAATGCTCCACAAACTTCTATAATCTCAATATTTGACAGCTACTGCTGCTGCCCCTCTACAAGCTGTGTCACAGACTGATGTACATGACCTTCAGACCAGTTGATCAGTTTGCAGAAATTCAGATGAGCTGAGGAGACTTGTTAAGGAGCACACCCAGGCACCCCAAACCCTTGTAATTCTATTGTAAAGTAATACTTGTCAGTGCAAGTGGAACATTTCATTATAATGAACACTCTTCAAACATGCCTGAGGTGACTAGAAATATGGAAAGTAACCCAAATCAAATATGGATGTATTAGAGAATCTCATTTCCTATCCATCATTAAGTGTAGGCACACAGCCTTTGAGACCAACTTCCCTGTGTCCCTGGCTGGGAATCAGCCTCTTCTCAGTGGTCTGCCTAAGCAGCAAAGTACTTTCATCCTGCATGTCAAAATGGCATAATGCCAGTACAAAGTGTATCTATCACATTGAATGTGAATTCTACTTTAAAAGAACATCCACATTTTTTTCTTTCTGTCTAAGTGAGTAAGCCATGCCTCAAAAATAATTTTCGGAGCACTGAAAAACTTATAAGGTAGATTGGTGATAAATCCTCTCTTTGCATGGTTTAAAGAGTCTCATGATAAATAGGAAATTCTGAAGCCAAGCAGCTCAGCTGTTTTTGAGCCTTTTTGGATCATACTGAGAGGTAAATTAGGAAGAAGTAAAGAGGGAAAACATGCACACTGAAATTTTGAAAAAATACAGACTTAATATTGCATGTCATTGATGGGGTTTAAGTACAGCTTGCTAAGCACTTACTGCAGGATATATATAAGGTGAATATTTGGAAGTTGTTACACAGAATATCCCTGGTGTAATAAGGAAAGTTTTTTCTTGATGGAAAGTCAGACAAGGTGAGAAAGAAGTGGAAGAGGTAGCTCAGCAGTCCATGTTCCTCAAGCTGAACAGAGGACGGACCAGCTTTGCGCATTTGCAAAATCTGGAGGGGAATTAGATCCAGCAGTACCGTCTTTAAGTTTGTGTTCCACGTTTGTCACAGCACAGGGTCATTTCATGTACACTTATGTACAAAACAGACGCTGTAGAATGCAGAGATTATTTTCCTAATGCCATGAAACTACTTTTCCTTTCATCCAGAAGATATCTCTGACTACTCACAAGATACTTTGAGATGTTTGTACAAATGACAGAGAAACGGGTGAACTTTCCCAATGCTGAGGAGCAGCACGAAGTTTTATTTCACCGAAGTCCCACATTAACATGCAAAATAGGATTTACAGAGTGCTCAAGAACAATCTGCAATTAATGTATTTTTCCCCCCCGCCCTTCTGTGTTTCAGTACCTGCTTGTGAATCCAACTCTTCTCTTTTTAATTGAGAATAAAGACAAAAGTTTTAACAAGCAAGCAAGCAAGCAAACAAAACCTAAAGACCTCAAAACAAAACAAAAAACCCTCAAACCAAACAAAACCCAAACAAAAACCAATACCAACCAAGCAAACAAACAACAACAAAAAATCCCAAACCCCCAAACAAAAACAAAACAAAGAAAAACAAAAACAAAAAAATAAGCAACAAGAACTGCCAGTCTCAATGAGGTACATAAAATTAAATTTTTAGCTGATATTAGGCCCATAGGCCCCCTAAGGTCAGACAGGGCCAGATCTGTGGCCTCTGAAGTACAGAGAACTCCTAGGAATGGCGATGGAGAAAGAGTGGGAAAGCACACGGAAAATAGCCAAAGTCTGAACCAAACCCAAAAGTGGGAATGAATTTAGTCTGGCCCCAAGTGCAGCAACACAGGGCTGAAAGCTGTCTCTGTTTTGTCAGCCTGTCAAGAAAATTGGGTTAATCTCACAGATATTCAAATCTTTCTTTCAGAATTGGAGGAGACAGTTCTCAGAAGGCAACTTTTGAGCCGTTTTTCCCAGGCTGGCGGGAATGAGCTGGTATCATTCCAGCCCTGCTCCAAAACTCCCCAAGGGCACTGGCCAATAAACATCACACAGGGATCTCTGAGAAGTCAACGGTGTATTTCTTGAGAGTATGTCCTTCAAATTTTATTTATTTGAAGCAACTTCAGATGAGAATAATTTAATGGTCTAGGTAGGGGAAGCCAGGCCTAGGTTGTTGCCTGCTAGCAGATTCCATCACTTCATTTTTTTATACAACTGAGGCAAGATATCCTTCTGTTCCTTTCCTTTACTTCTCCTCTTTCAGTATGTTTCAATAAGCTGTATCTTGGTTCCCACTACTACCAATGAACAGATTCCCAAATAGGAGATCCTGGAGAAACTAAAGTTATAATTAGATGACAGAATTATGTGGCTCCACATAAAGTGTTTGTTAAGGAAAAACAAATTTATTCAGGAATTGTGGTTATATTACTAAAATGGGAGTATAGGCACTAATAATTGGTGTGGCAGATTATAGTTGGTCTTAATTATTGTTTCTGTCTTCTACATTTACTTGTTATGTTTTTCATAATCTATTATGAAATAATACTATTATTTCATAATAGATTATGAAAATCTATTTTGAAGATTCTATTTCTATCATATCCCTATCTATTTCTATTCATTTTTCCCAGTAATTTTCTGAGCCTTTCTGGTTCAGTACCTTTTCTGGGAAGCCTTTTAGTTCCTAAGTCAACAGTATAAAGAATATCTGCTATGCATCTGTTTTTTAAATGTCACTGTAACTCCATCACTAAGAACATCTAAAAAGCTTCTGATGTGTTACTCTGGGAACACTTCATGCTTGCATAAAAGGCTTCCTTGGAGAACCTCACAAACAAAGGCTAGCCTGGATGCAATTTTCTATTTTACTTTTACAATATGCTCTCTCTTCTCTTGAAAATGTTTCCTTTCTTTCTTCTTTGTATACTAATAGGTGTTAACAATAACAGATGATAAATAACTGGTTGATTGACTCATAAGCACAAAATCCAACAAAGCACTACAATACAAGATTATGTGAGAGTCAGTATTCTTGGACCAGCCGTGGGAGCTAGCCTGAGTGTGCAGTTGAATCACAGGTTTAAAAAGGAAATACAATGCTTCAGACAGAATGGGTTTTTTGTGAAAGGAAGATTTCAAGATCTGTTCCACATATTCTCAAACTTTGCCTCCTGGAATGGCAGACTTGAGGGAAGAATCAGATTAGCAACATGAATAAGGATGCAATAAGGTTTCCAGCTTCATTTTATAAGCACCTTTCCTCAAGAATATCCTGTGTCCCCCTAATCCTCAATCAAACCCAGAACAATAGATCTCATTGTTCTCATCTTTCCAACTTCCATCCAGCCCCTACGATGCTTCTATATTCTTACTCCTCCATCCACTTTTGTGTCCTTTCTGCTCTTGCCTCCATGTTTCAGCCCTCCCAGAGCCACCTGTATTTCCTCCAGTCCCCATTTCACTTACCCCATACACTTCTTCAAGTTTGCCTGTTCCTGGATGTATGGAGAGTGCAAAGTCAATGACTGCAGTAGTGCTGCTGGAGGTAACGTGCACTGGTGGGTGAGTTGGCTCCAGGCAGAAGGGACCACATGTGAATTCTTCATCTTGTACCCTGAGATAAGTCACTAAGTGGTGACTCTCACATATCCAAACATCAACATCCATGAAGATCTGAAAAGCTACATGTCAAACTTGCTGTCAAATTAGGTAGAAATTGGACAGTGGGTTCAATAATTGGCAGAAACAGAAGCGGAGAATCAAGCTAAGCATATATAATTTTACTGTCAGGAAATTAGGGTAGAAGTAATGTAAAAGGGTCCATCTTTAAGATCGCTGCTTTCCTAGTGAAAATGATGAGCTGCACTCAATGATGTGAAGGAATGAACATCAGATAGTTTAACTTCCAGAAGTAATGCCATAATAGCAGTTACAAAACTATCAGTCATAAAATGCCATAAAGTAAAATCAGACAATTATTAAGGTGAAAATCACTGCCTAGAAAATAAACCTGCCTGTTATCAATTTAGACCACATTAAAAAAAACTCTATATAGATATTTTACTATCTCCTTATAACATCATTGTTTTAAATACTGATTAGGAATATGAGACATTTGTCAGTAGTCTAGTCACCAAATTCCATGTCTACATGGTGCTGCTTGTAAGTTTTATTCTTCAGATATCTTCTATTATTTTTTATAGCCATGTCTGATGTGTATCAGAAAACATTTCTGCAAATGCAGAGCTGATGATTGGCTTTTACCTCTGCAACGTTCATGTTGAAAGAAGAGTAAATCTTCTTCACATGGCTTGTCTGCCTGAAAAACTGCATGGAAATGGAGGAAATAATGTATTACAGGGGAGAAGTCATAAACTGTGACTGTGAGTTGTATTAAGAGCTGACAGAGTCCCATTAATCATTTTATTTCACACACTCTCCAGAAAAGCTGGGAGCCTAAGGAGACCTGAGCACACCATCTTTTCAAGGTACAAAATGCCATGGCTGCACATGAATTAGCCCCAGCAGGTATTTCTCAAAGTAAGGGAGAATCAAGTCTTGAGGCAGTAACTTTCTTTCTTTTAACAGAAAAGCACAAAGAAAAGTACTTAGCAGGAAATCTGTGCCA